CCCAACTATCATACAGTGAAAACATTAGGTACAACCCAACTATCATACAGTGAAAACGTTGGGTCATGTTAACATTGTGTGTCGCCTATGTTATGCCTTTCACTCTTCCCTACCATCTAAATTAAAGATTTTACAGTAGTACATTTTGCTATGCAAGGCTCTATATATTTGATATTTGATCACTATTTTTGTATTCTCTGACACCCATTTCGTCTTCAGTAAGCTGAGACAAAAAACACACGAGTGAAGGCTGATAACTGACCTGTTCCATAACCACCATGAGATCCATGCTGACCATAAGCAGTTGGTTGTTGAAAACCAGAATGTGGAGCACTGCTACCTTGCGACCTGGTTGATGGAGGGACCTGAATAAAAAGTAAAATTTAGCCAAAAGCTGATCATATAATTTTTACTTTTATTAATTGTGATTATCTATGCATTGTGTAGAACACTATTCTATTGTGTCGGAAAATGCTATTTGTAGAAAGACACACCATCCACTGACAGGTCAGCCAGCTTAGAGCTCCACCCCCCCCCCCCAAATAATGCACTAAACCAACAGAGTTTTGTACACATGCAGTAGTTAGTGCATTTATTGAGATATTTTACATCAAACTAACTATTGAGAATATCACAGCCCCTATGTTCTTGTATTTTAATTAATGACAAATGAATTGACAGCATTTCCATGCTCTTTTTTGTGTAAGTTTGATGATGTGATCAAACTCCAAGACAAATTAACAAGTGTAAGTCCTCAGGTGTATATTAGAAACAAACAGCCTGTCGACTGAGATAGCTCTGCCGTTAGCAATGCACATAGTCTGTCAGCTGAGATAGCTCTGCTGTTAGCAAAGCACATAGCCTGTCGGCCGAGATAGCTCTGCTGTTAGCAATGCACATAGCCTGTCAGCTGAGATAGCTCTGCTGTTAGCAAAGCACATAGCCTGTCGGCCGAGATAGCTCTGCTGTTAGCAAAGCACATAGCCTGTCAGCTGAGATAGCTCTGCTGTTAGCAATGCACATAGTCTGTCAGCTGAGATAGCTCTGCTGTTAGCAAAGCACATAGTCTGTCGGCTGAGATAGCTCTGCTGTTAGCAAAGCACATAGCCTGTCAGCTGAGATAGCTCTGCTGTTAGCAAAGCACATAGCCTGTCAGCTGAGATAGCTCTGCTGTTACAAAGCACATAGCCTGTCGGCAAAGCACATAGCCTGTTGGCTGAGATAGCTCTGCTGTTAGCAAAGCACATAGCCTGTCGGCTGAGATAGCTCTGCTGTTAGCAAAGCACAT